CTTTTTAGCTCTTGAAAGCTTTTCTCGCATTCATCTGACCAAATGAATTTAACTCCTTTCTAAGTAAGACGTGTCAGAGGTGAAGTAATGCGAGAGAATCCTTCCATAAATTTTCTATAGTAACCAGCCATACCAAGAAATCTACGGATCTCCGTCACCGTAGTCGGTCTGTCCCATTTAACAATGGCTTTTACCTTTCAGGGTCCACAGAAATCCCTTCCTTAGAGATTACATACCCAAGAAATGCTACCTCCTCCAACCAGAATTCACATTTCTTAAGTTTCGCATACAGTTGTTCTCTCTTTATTCACATTTCTTAAGTTTCGCATACAGTTGTTCTCTCTTTAATGTGTGCAACACCTGTCTCAAGTGTTTTTCATGTTCTTCTTTGCTTCTTGAGTATATCAGAATATCATCAATAAATACCACAACAAACTGATCCAAGAAAAGTTTAAATACCCTGTTCATAAGATCCATAAATGCCGCAGGTGCATTTATGAGCCCGAATGGTAAAACTAAAAATTCATAATGACCATAACGGGTTCGAAATGCAGTCTTTGGCACATCTTCTGGCTTGATTTGTAACTGATAGTAACCAGAACGGAGATCAATTTTGGAAAATACTTGAGCTCCTTGCAGTTGATCAAATAGATCATCAATCCTTGGTAATGGGTACTTGTTCTGAATGGTTACTTTATTCAACTCACGGAAGTCAATACATAGTCTCATACTTCCATCTTTCTTCTTCACAAATAACACTGGTGCACCCCAGGGTGACACACTCGGCCGAATGAAGCCTTTATCTAAAAGTTCTTGCAGTTGCACTTTTAGCTCTCTCAATTCAGCAGGTGCCATTCTTAGAAATAGGACTCGTACCAAGTACTAGGTCAATTGAAAATTCAATTTCTCTATCTGAGGGCATTCCTGGAAGTTCATCTGGAAATACCTCTGGAAATTCTCGGACAATTGGTATCTCTTCCAAGCTTGGTTTTTTATCATTAATCATTTCAACTGATGCCAAATAACCCATACATCCACTCCTCAGCGCTCGATGTGCTTTAAGAGATGAGATAATTTTTTAAGGGTTCTTGAGACTTTCCGTTCTCAAAACAAAATTCAGGTTGGCCAGGAAATTTAAATACTACATTCTTTTCTCAACATAAAATAGTAGCATGATTTAAGGATAACCAATCCATCCCAATATGATATCAAAATCATGCATTTCCAGCATAATTAGTTCTGCTGGAAGCTCATTGTCGAGAATATTAATTTCCCCTTACAACCCTAATTTGATACTAATATGCTACCTCCAGGTGTACTAACAAGCAATTCTTGTTGTAGGGTATCACATGGTAATTGGTTTCTCTTAACAAACTGTGCAGTAATAAAGGAATGCGATGCACCAGAATCAAATAGTACTCGAGCCTGAACCGACGTAAAAATTAGCGTACCTATCACCATACCCTTGTTTGCTTCTGCTTCCTTCTCAGTCAAAGAATAAAATCGGGCCTTGGCTTGAGGATACCGGGTCCCACTACTGGACTGGCCAGTCTGAAAAGTATTCCGAGATGGTTGTTGTAGGAGACAATTTGCTATCTTGTGATCTTTCTGACCACATCTCAAACAAGCTCCAGTATTTCTCTAACAACTTTTCGCTTCATGCCCCAGCTTATGACAAAAAGCACATCTTAAAGTTTTCTGGGTAGGAAATTGTTCCTCTCTGCGTCCAAAATTCTTCTTTTTATTTTTCCAATTTTTATTTCTTCCACCACGATTATCTTGCTAGAACCGCTTCTTTGGGTAGGAGCTGCTCGTCTCATTTCTTGGTTTTGTATCAATTTCATTTTTCTCAATTAACAAGGCATTCTTTAACACTTCTCCATATGTAGGGAGTTCAATTGCACTGACCATCTTCTGGATGTCCGGTCGAAGCCTTTCCTTGAATCGACGAGCTCTATCTTCCTCATTACCCAACAAGTGAATGACAAATTTTGATAGGTAAGTGAACTCTTCTTCATATTCAGCTACCGCCTTGTCATCTTGCTCCAATTTTCGAAACTCCTGTTCTTTTTGTTTACGAACAGTTGAGGGAAAGTATTTTACATAAAAAATCTTTTTAAATTCTTCCCACGATATCTTGTATGCATTCTCACCCAATGTCCTGACCTGCATCTGCCATCACCCGTAAGCGCGGTCTTTTAACATGTATACTGCATAATCAACCTTCTCCTCTCCGGGCATTTCATATATGTAAAAACATTTTCCATTTCTGTGATCCAATGCTCAGCAATTATAGGATCAGTTGTCCCTTCAAAACTGGGTGGAGATAGTTTCTTGAATTCTCCCATGCCACTTCTTAATTTTGGGTGTTCCTCCTTTTGACCACTCGTCTGATTGCGATCAATTTGATCTTGTTGTCTGGTGACTACGGATGTCACCGCTTGCAGCAGATCTATCAATACATTATTGTCTATTGAGTTTCCGAAGGTGGATGCATGAGCAATTCTAGATCTCATCATTTCACCTATCGTCTGATTTAGATCCCTATCTCCGTTAGGAGGGGTTTGCTCATTACCTGAAGTCATATCTTCCTATAAATAATAAAATATTTATATGCATACATATATATACATATGTATACAGACATATATATCACATAATTGACCCATACGCTAACACTCATCTAGCGCATATACAATATGATAATGTGTCCTACAAGGTTTCTAACGTCGAAACCTAAGCTCTGATATCACCTTACTGTCACGCCCTAAAACTACAGCGGAATATCATAAAATACGGGGTGCGCAACAGCAGCGACCAATGCCTAAGACAAGTCTTATGCACGGGTCAAGCCTGGCACTTCATATCACATAGTTTATTTCAAATATTCATAAACCTGCTGATGATAGAAGTCAGAGCAACTATATATATGATCGGTACTTACAGCCCACAAGCTCACCGTCATAAGCATTTTACAAAACAAAATAAATGGTGCTGAAGGTAACATCAAAATGAAGAGGCCTTCCATATAACGCCTCTCAGCCAAAAGTTCAAACCAAAAGTCGGCTAGTAGGAAGCTACGCCTGATCTGAAAAAAATATTTAAAAACAACGGGAAGAGCTAGCGCTCAGTGAGAACATTTCCCACTAGAGTTCCTAGATAACTAATAAAATAGTAATAAGAATAATTCTCAGAAATAACAAATTTCAAGTTTTGCAAGAGAAATTTCAAAGATAGTAAAATACGATCCAAATATCGTAATATTGCCATTTTTAAGAAAAGATAAAACAATTATATTTCCTTTCTCATGTGCAACTGAATAAACTATGAAATTTCTTGGAATCAAACCCCTTTTGAATCAAGGTAAGCATTAAGAAGGAAAAGAACTACTAATTTGAACAAAATCAGAGAATTATTATTTTCTCAATTTCACAGTCAATTATCAGAATTTTGAATCAAGGTAAACATTAATAAAGAAAAGAAATTACTAAATTGGGTGCAAAACCAGAGGACAATTATTTTCTTAGTTTTGCAGTCAATTGTCAAAATCTTAAATCTGATGAGTCGTGTTCTTCGAATTCACGTTCAAATCTCAAAATCATAAATCTATTACTATCAGGCGATGTGAACTTTAGTGGTAGTTTCTACGGGCTCTAGAGGTGGCTCCCACCGTGTTCATACCGTGTAGCACTTAGCCCCGTATAACACTTAGCTCCACATTTCCAGCTAGTAATTCATGAAACATAATAATCACCTAATATGTCACACTAATGCTACAAATTTTAGCCCAGTAGCAAGGGAATGGGTAAACCGCATCAGATAACAGATAATTCCCGGGAATCGAATACATCTAACACTGCCATAGGCTACTGGCCAAATACAGAGGGGCCAGAACAAATTTCAGAAGGGCCAATACAGAAGGGCCAAGGCCAATACAGAAGGGCCAAATAAAGGTGCATTCACCATATGGCAGGCAGAACTAATCCATAGTGGACTATTTGAGGGTTTGAAAACATCAAGATCACATGTCAAATGAGAAATACTTTGCATATCAGAATTTACAGATATTTCAAATGAAATTGACAAGATAAAGCTCCTTATTTCTGTTAAAACAGTTTACGGATGTTTTTTTTTAATCAGATACCAAGTCACCAAAATCTTTGAATCCGTTAAACTGTTGAAATACGTTCCAAATACCTTATCAAAACATTCAGATAAAACAATGTCCACGATTATTTGAAAATTGCATGAGAGCCAAATTCATTTTTTTTCCCACATTTTATATAAAAATCAAATTTACTTTTCATATATTGTACGAGGCTAACATCGTATTATAGGATAGACCACAACAGAAATAGGTCAAATCTTTACATATATGAAAAGACATATTATTTATTTTTTTTTCATCACAAGATAATCAAATATAAAACTCATGCAATTTTATATTATAAAATACTAGTGAGAAATGAACTCACCTCTAGTGGTCACGACTTTCTCAAAATATTATTTTCCCGAATATCAACCAGAACCTATTATGTAAGATATATGACTAATTATTAATTCAGAACAACCATATATTATAGGTGCATCAATTCATAATCTAGAGTCTAATAAATTCAAATATAATCAATAATAATTAAATTCTACAGTGCATATGAGTTTGTTGCTATCTTTGGTAATTCATCAAAATTTTATAATTCTCATACACTAGCTTTTGGACTTTTTAGTAATTTATAATAATATAGGGGTTATAGGGAATTTATCAAGTCTGAAATTATTGTTTATTCATCAGATTGGACTTGTTTACAACTGAACAAAAGATACGGGCCTGATAAATGTTTTCCAGTCATTTTCAACAATAACTCATTTTACTATAAGGTTTGTTTAAAAAAAATCATGTTTCAGGGGCTTAAAACAAATTTTCCTCTCCTTTATAAAAATCACCTGTTCATCTTCCTCCTCCCTTCGTTTCTTTCTGCTGCTGCTTCTTCTTTTTGTTTGTTTTTTTTTCCGGTTCCCTCTTCTTCTTCTCTTTTTTTCGGTTTTCTTCTCCCCTCTCTCTCTTTCTTTCTCTCTCTCTCTCTTTCTTGCTCTCACTGTCTCGCCAAAGCCCTAAAACTGCGGCCAGGGGATCGTCGGTGATAAGGAGTGGCCGGCGGTGGCCGGCGGTCAGATCCTTACCAAAACTAGGGTTAGTATTTTTTTTCTCTCTTATTTACAAAAGCAGTTAATCAAAACATCAATTTACCAGTTTATTAGTATTCTATAACAGATTTACTTCTTCTAAATCAAGAAATTTTAGATTAAACAGGAGGATAAAGTTATACCTTAACTTATTTGAACTTGGGGATGCTGATCAATTTTCTTCTTTTCCTCTCCTATTCCTCCGTTCTCTAACTGGCTTGGGTTACGATTTGAAAATGAGGGGATGAGTTGAGAGGAAAGAAGGACGGATGAATATGAGCTGATAGGATTTCAAGGTTTATGTTTTCATGGGTTTACAACAATTGAACACCTCACTCAACCGTCCCTACTTCCAATAAAAAGAAGCTAGCGATCCTCTAAGAGATGTAAACAGGACAGCTCAAGCTGGTAAGTTTCTCTGTCTCTTTTTTTTTATTTCTATTTTATATCATTTTTTTATATATATATTATCATTTTTTATATGTTTTTTTTCCTGGGCTATTACAAACATAAACGACAAAATATCCATTCAATAATGGTAATCAACTTTAGCTTTTTCTGTATTAAGTCATTTTGCCTGGTCTTTACTATTTCTATCCATTAGAAATAATGAGTGTCAACCTTGTTTTCATACAGGTAGCTTAATGAGATAACATAAGTCATTATCTGAATATGCAAAGTACTCCTTAGATTAAACTTCATCATACCTGATACAATGTTTTTCTAGGAATCGACGAAGAGACACTTTATAGGTAATTGGAAGATCTGAACGATAATATAGTAGGTTCTACCACAGTTATATTATAGATAAGAATAAATATATAGATTTAAAATATTTTTTAATATAAATCAATATGAAAAGTGGATAAAATTTTGCCTGCTTGCAATTTTGTGACAGTGGAAAATTTGGTAGATTTTGGTGACTCTTTTACTGTTGGGGACTTGGGGTTGAAGGGCTTATAGGATCCAATGAGGAGCTTTCAACAGTAAGAAGCGTGATTTCTTGAACCTGTTATTAGTAATATATTATTAATACCTGACCTTTAACCTCATATTTATGCATTTTTCTAGTGAAAATAGTGCTATTAGCTTGTCGGCAGGAATGTTATCAAAATCATTGACAGCTCCAGAGTAGAAAATGGTTAGCTGTCCCTTGGAGGAGCTCGTATCTGATGCAGGTAATAAGTTTTGTCTGATGAGAGGAAATATTTGGGAGAGAAGGAAATATTGGGAGAAGTACAGGGAGTTGTATGGGAATTGTTGCCAAAATGAAAGCACATATATCCAAATACACTTAGAAATTACTGAACCATGCATGCATATTTCTGTTATGTTATTTTTCTACCAACATTTTTAGAGATATAAGCAAATTCACTTACTAGTAATTTCCTAATACAATCTTCTCAGAAATAAGGTAAGAATATGATCTTCATTGGTCAGTGGCATCTTCAAGTTCGACCTTATATTTCTAAACAATATCATGTCAGCAGCCGCAAGATTTGAATGGAAAAAGTGGGCAGGCCCACAAATTAAATTTTTCGGCACCGTCCTAGGCAGAATTTTGAAAAATTAAAAGTTGCATAGTAAAATAATATTATCTTATTAGTACATAGTGTTTTCCCAAACACTACAAATAGGCCTAAAACACTTCAGAAAAAAATAATCTCAGAAACAACTCCTCATATAGAAGAGTAAGAGAGAAAAAATAAAGAGAGTTTCTCCTTGTAAAGAGAGATTGTAACTCAAAAGTTTCTCCTCATAGTGAATTCTTCTATTCTTGCTTGTGGTTTTTACCCTAAATTTATTTAGGGGGTTTTCCACGTAAAATATGTGTGTTCTTTTTATTACTTACACTCTACTATTCACTGAGACCCTATTCTATTGGGCCCCGAGTTTGTCCCAACAAGAGGTATCAGAACTTGTATTAGATTACGTGTATCTATTTATCGTATGCTCTGTGGCTGCCACCAAAAGTAAATCATCCACATCAGAAAATAAGTTAGATTATCAATTACCCTTTGATGGCAACGGTACTATTCACAACGACGGTACTATTCATAAGTACGATATTATTCACAAGTATGATACTATTCACAAGTACGGTACTATTCATAGATACGATTACTATTCATAAATATATTTACTGTTTACGTGAGATATTAAGAAGTTACTATTTGTGGTAGAAGCAATATCGGCGAAGTTCGAGATCGTAAAATTCAACGGGAGTAATTTCTCACTGTGGAAATTAAAGATAAATGCTATCTTGAGAAAAGATAATTATCTAGCGACCATCAGTGCAAGGTCAAACGATATCACAGATGATAAGAAGTGGAACAAGATGGACGAAAATGCTATTATAAATCTCCATCTGGCATTAGCAAACGGGGTGTTGTCAAGCATAGAGGAGAAGAAGACAACAAAGGAGATTTGGGATACTCTAACTAAGCTATATGAGGCAAAATCCTTACACAACAAAATCTTCTTAAAAAGAAGACTTTACACTTGAGGATGGCGGAATCTACATCAATGACTGACCACATCAACACCGTAAACATACTGTTGTCCCAATTCACAACGTTAGGGTATACAATCGGTGTGAATGAATGTGCAGAACTTCTACTTCAGAGTCTACCTGACTTGTATGATCAACTCATCATCAACCTAACAAACAATGTCCTCACGGATAATCTAGTCTTCGACGATGTTGCAGCTGCTATTATGGAGGAAGAAAATCGGCGCAAGAACAAGGAAGATAGGAAGGCAAGTTTGCAACAAGCGGAGGCCTTGTCGGTGACGAGAGAAAGATCAACGGAACATGGCTCCAGTGGGTGTCATACTCATGGTAGATCAAAATCAAGAAGTAATATGAATATCAAATGCAATAATTATGGCAAAAGAAGGCACGTGAAATCGAAGTGTTTGCACAATAAGAAGAGTAGTGATAAAATATCTTCAAAGCCATCAACATCTCAAGGATGCGTTGTTAACACGTCAGATGATGATGAAATTCTATACAGTGGAGCAACCACTGTTGATGAAGGCGGAAAGAGGTTTGCTAATGTCTGGCTTCTAGATTCAGCAGCCTCCTGGCACATGACCTCACGGAGAGAATGGTTTCACAAATATGAACCTATCTCAGGAGGATTTGTATTCATGGGCAATGATCATGCCCTGAAAATTTCTTGTATTGGCACTATCAAAATTAAAATATTTGATGATACAATACGCATCATTCAAGATGTACGACATGTGAAGGGCTTAAAGAAAAATCTATTATCTTTAGGATAATTAGATGAGCTCGAGTGCAAGACTCATATAGAAAACGGGATCATGAAGATTATTAGAGGGGCGCTTGTTATGATAAAAGGAGAAAAGATAGCTACAAATCTATACATGCTCAAGGGAGAAACCCTGCATGAAGCTGATTCATGTATGATATCAACCAGCCATGGAGAAGAACAAACCATGATGTGGCATCGTAAACTAGACCACATGTCAGAACGAGGCTTGAAGATTTTCTCCGATCAGAAACTGCTTCTTAGAATTAATTCGGTAGCTCTTCCTTTCTGTGAGTATTGTGTTATAAGTTAACATCATCGACTGAAATTCAACACATCGAGTTCTAGAAGTAAGGCTATTCTAAAACTGGTTCATTCTGATGTATGGCAAGCACCAGTTACATCTATGGGAGGAGAAAAATATTTTGTGTCCTTTATTGATGATTATTCTAGGAGATGTTAGGTGTATCCAATTAAAAAGAAGGCGGATGTGTTCTCAACTTTTAAAGCCTACAAAGCGCGAGTCGAGCTTGAACCTGAAAAGAAGATCAAGTGCTTAAGGATAGATAATGGAGGAGAATACACAGATGGTAAATTTCTTGCATTCTGCAAGCAAGAAAGCAAGAAAAGATAATTCAGTACTACTTATACTCCTCAACAAAATAGAGTGACGGAGAGATGAAAAAACACAGATGGTAAATTTCTTGCATTCTGCAAGCAAGAAAGCAAGAAAAGATAATTCAGTACTGCTTATACTCCTCAACAAAATGGAGTGGCAGAGCGGATGAACAGAACTCTGTTGGAAAGAACAAGAGCTATGTTGGTAACTGTAAATCTAGATAAAATCTTTTAGGCGGAAACAGTAAAAATCGCCTGTTATGTGGTCAATCGATCTCCATCAACCGTAATACAGTTAAAGACACCGATGAAGATGTAGACTGACAAGCCAGGTGATTACACCAATCTCTATATATTTGGAAGTCAGTGTACGTGATGTACAATGCCCAAGAAATGACAAAGATGGATTCAAAATTCAGAAAATACATATTCTTAGGGGATACCGATGGAGTCAAGGGGTATCACTTGTGGGATCCCACTGCCCGCAATGTTATCATTAGCATAGATATTATCTTTATAGAGAACCAACTACAAAATAAAGAAAAAGAAAGCAGTTCAAGGAAAGACTCAGAGACTGTAGTTGTTCAGATAGAAAATGGTCCAAATTCTTCTAAAGCAACACCGGAGCATGATGTATAAGAACCAGTCGAGTCCGAGGCTCCAGAAGTTCGAAGGTCAACTTGTGACAGAAGACCACCGACTTGGCACTCGGAGAATATTACGGAGAGTAAAGTTATATACTGTCTTCTAACAGAGGATGGTGAGCCATCAATTTTTTATGAAGATATAAATAACATAGATGTATCTTTGTGAATGGCTACAATGCAAAAAGAAATTAAAGCTCTTCATAAGAATAAGACTTGGTACTTGTGTCACTACACAAGGAAGGAAGGCTATTGAAAATAATTGGGTCTACAAGATCAAGCAAAATAGAGATGATCAAGTAGAGCGAAATTGTGCTAGATTTGTAATAAAAGGATATGCTCAAAAAGAAGGTATTGACTTTAATAAAATATTTGTTCTTGTAGTTCGACTTACAACAGTCCAAATAAACCAACGATGAGCACTAGATTTGACTTATGCCTAGAGCAGCTAAATGTGAAAATAACATTTCTTCATGGAGATTTTGAAGAAGAAAGGCATGCTCCAACCAGAAGGTTTTGAAGAAAAAGAAAAAGAGAATTTGATTTGCAGATTGAACAAATCTCTATACGGTCTAAAGAAGGCGCCTATGTGTTGGTATAAGATATTTGATTCATTCATCATGAGCCTTGGATACAACAGACTTAATTCAGACCATTTTGTATATTTTAAGAGGTTTGGTAAAAATAATTTTGTTATCTTATTATTGTATGTTGATAACATGTTGGTTGTAGGCCCCAACAAAGATTGTATCAAAGAATTAAAGTCATAGTTGGCTAGACAATTTGAAATGAAGGATTTAGGATCTGCAAACAATGTTATAGGGATGCAAATTTACCAAGACAGAATAAATAGGAAGATTTAGCTTTCTCAGAAGAATTATTTGAAGAAAATCTTGTAGCGCTTTAACATGCAAGATTGTAAGTCAATTTCTACCTCACTTTCTATTAATTTTAAGTTATCCTCTAGTATGAGTCCTAGCAATGGAGAAAAGAGGATGGAGATGTCTCGAGTACTGTATGCATGAGCAGTGGGAAACTTTAAAGTTCGCTATGATTTGTACAAGATCAGATATTGCACAAGCAGTGGGAGTGATTAGTCGATACATGGCGAATTCTAGTAAAGAGCATTGGAATATTGTAAAGAGGATCCTAAGATACATTAAGGGAACCTCAAATGTTGCATTATGTTATGGGGGATCAGATTTTATTGTCAATGGATATGTTGATTCTGATTATGCAGGTGATCATGATAATAGCAAATCCATCACAGGCTATGTGTTTTCACTTGCTGGCGAAACTATAAGCTGGATTTCAAAACTACAGTCAGTTGTGGCTACTTTAACAACAGAAGCAAAATATGTAGCAGCTACACAAGCTTGTAAAGAGACGATATGGTTGAAGATGGTGCTGGAGGAGCTCGTGCATGAACAAAAGAAGATATCTCTATTTTGTGACAGTCACAATGCTTTGTATTTAGCAAGAAAAAATCTATCCTTTCATTCAAAGAGAAAACACAATCGAGTTTAGTACCACTTCGTTTGTAAGAAAGTGGAAGAAGGAACAATGGATATGCAAAAAATTCACACCAAAGATAACCTAACAGAATTTTTGACAAAAGTAGTTAATACTAATAAATTTATTTAGTGTCAATCCTCTTGTGGTCTGTCAGAGACGTGAGCAATATGAAGATGGCAAGATAGAAAGAATGGTGTGAAGATTTAATTAATACTCAATCAAATCTTTAATTTGGAGATTATCAGCAACTGCAAGATTTGAATGAAAAAAGTGGGCGGACCCTACAAACCAAATCTTTCGGCACTGTAAGTGAGGTTGGTAGAAATTTGAAAAATTAAAAGTTGTAGAGTAAAATAGTATTATTTTATTAGTGCATAGTATTTTTCTAAACACTATAATTAGGCCCTGAACTCTTCAGAAAAAAAATAATCCAAGAAACAACTCTTCAAATAGAAGAGTAGGAGAGAAAAAAATAGAGAGAGTCTCCTTGTAAAGAGATATTGTAACTCCA